GAGTTCCATGGCATAGAATTTCAACGCGTGGAGTTCCATCATATCGAATTTCAAAGCGTAGAGTTCCATCATATCGAATTTCAACGCGTTGAGTTCCACCGCATAGGATTTCAACGCGTAGAGTTCCATCGTATCGAATTTGAACGCGCACAGTTTCGACGCGTAGAGTTCCATGGTATAGAATTTCAACGCGTTGAGTTCCACCGTATAGAATTGCAGCGCGTTGAGTTCTACCGTATGGAATTTCAGTGCGTAGAGTTCCATCGCATGGAATTTCAAAGCATAAAGGTTCAACGTATCGAATTTCAACGCGTAGAGTTCCATCATATAAAATTTCACCGCGTTGCACAGTGTCGGATTTCAACGCACATAACTCGTGGTGTCGGATTACACCGCGCAGAGCTCACGGTGTCCGATTACAACGCGTAGTTTGCACGTGTACAATTACAACGCGAAGACTTTCATGGTATCAAATTACAACTAATAGAGCTTCACAGTGGATTACAACGCACAAGTTTAATGGCATGGATTACAACGTGACGAGTTGCAAACTGTAGAACTTGAATGCACCGAATTATCCAACGTAGAGAAATTCCCAAAGAACATAAAAGTAATTTCTACAGCGATTATTTTAATCAAGTACGCATCATATGTTTAATTCGATTCTGTTTCGGTGTGAAGCACATACGTGATTCGCTCGTTTATTACCAATATCGTAAGTCGATAATTAAGTGGCAAACGAGTGACGAATAATTCAACCACGAAACAAATGAATATTACGTGTCGCAGAGATAAACCGCGGTAATTAATGCAACGCAAACGTTCATTTAAACGAGATAAATTTGACAAACGCGAAATTACGATGCTAATTTCGTTGTAAACGTACGTATTGAAGGATTTGTAATTGCAACGGTACTCGTTGCTTTCGGGATTGATTAAACTAGATTTCAAAGCGATTTGCGATATGGGAACACAAAATCATTTCAGACTGACAATTTGAAAAATATCCTCGCAAACTTCTTAATAAAGTGTGGCTACTTTTAGCTGCCTCATCCGAAGGTCTTACTAAAATCCCAGGATCATCTCGGTTCATCATCGTTCTTATATTTTTTATCGCGTTCGGAGGACGGAAAGAAAACGGAGAGCTACGCATTTTCTAAACGAGGACTTTTTCATAACCCGAGGAATGAAACGAACGAGAATCCCGTACAATTTGCTGAATTCTTTCGCGAATTGACGCCGCTACGTTGCGTGCATATTAAATTTGAAAACGATGCGAGGCACACGTGGCTCGAATGAAAGCATTGAAATTTCTCGTCGAAGTAGACGGCTCAAAACGCAGGGGGGCTTTTCATGTAATGACTCCGAAACAATGGCAGATGGATAGCCGTTCGGCATACCTGTGATTTTCGGGTGGTAATTGAACGCGGATTCGAAAGAATGATGAATGGAGATCGATTCTGATAGTTAACGGTAGGAACTGACGTTTATTGGATGTTGAACGCTGAAATGTTTGGATAAATTGTGAAAATTGTGATTGAACGACTCTTTAAAATTATACACGTATTGACATTTTGGACTTCCAGTCCTATGCTGTTTAATAAAAAGAATTTTACATGTTAATCACTTATGGAGCAGTAATTCGAATCACTCAGCTTTTCACCTGTAACCTTTCTCATTATCTCCGTATTGAAGTATAATTTAATTCATAATTTTCAATCTCGCGCTTCATAAATTGTACAGTATTGCCCCAGATACGTCTATCAACCAAAGGATGAGTTTACAAAAGCTTAATTAATGCGTTCCATTTAGACAGCGAGCAGAGGAAAAATGACGTTCTTCGAAAAATTCCAACGTATCTGGGTTAATAACTGTAAAAATGTATTTTCAACAATACAACGCGGTACATCAATTACAAAATTCCATTCTAATTTATGAATCAGTACGCGCTTCAAGGAAGAGTTGTGTTAAATTAATTCTTGCGTCTCTCTCGCATGAATTATTTAACGTTCACCGATACGGTCGGGAATTAATTAAACACCCAGTAGACGGCGAAAAGTCGAGTGCGCGCAGGTAGCCCGTTGCAATCGGGTTATTAATGATGTTTCGCGGGGGGTTAATTTATCCACCGCGACGCGAAGGTGCGCTCCGAATCTAATTATCCCGTAAAATCGTGCGTTTTATAATACGTCGTTAAATAGTTTACAATCGACGAGTTCCGAAAACATGAATTTTACATCGCACTTCGAAGACAACGAGAGATTATTCATAACTTCGTGGAACTTGTTGCATTTTCTCGTTACGAAGATAATGAAGCATTTGTAAATCTAATGAGGTGATTTAGATTCCGAAAAATTCTTACCTGAGGATAATCGCCCTCCTTCATCTGGTAGTCGAACACGTAGAAGTACGTTTTGGGCATCGGTTCTTTCTCGCTCTCCGGTATCGGTGCTATGTGGGGGTTGTTCGGTTCCTTCGTGTGTCGCAGGGTGAACAAATCTCCAGTTTGCACCAAGGGCGCCACAAATTGGGCGTCGCTCAACGCCTGGATGCAGGCATCTCTCGTGTTCACGGGATGCTGCACCGTTCGCTCCCAATCCGTATATTCGTTCACCACCTGGCAAATATATAAACAAAAACTTAATTCGTAGAACGAAATATTTCTACCAAAACGTTTGTCATGTTCCCAGGAAGTTTTCCTTCCCTTTCATATTCGCTTGGACGGTCAAACAAAAAAGGCTTCAGCTCGAAATTTGAACACGGTTTTGAATATTCTGTTTCAAGGAACACGATATCGTGCACGATTCCGAGTTTCCCGGAAAATGCGCAATCTATGTTTTCCATTTGGGGAAAAATGCGAGCCGTTAGCGGGGCTTGATAAAAATTTAACAAACCATTTTTCGAAATTCGCCGAAACGCCGCGCTCGTGGAACGATTTATCCTCTTTTTTCAACGAACACGGACTTTCGATTAGTAGGAAATTCAATTTGTTGAAATAACGGAATTACGTGTGGACCAGTTTCTTTATTATTCGTAACAGGGGGATTTACTTACGGTGTAAAATATTTCTGTCAGATGATAGACGTACGCGTTCCTCACGTACGTTCTGATTATTCTGTCTCGCCTTTCTCCTTCGAATCCTTGCTGAACGTCCTTTTCAGAGAATTTCCACAAAGCCTCACTCGTTGTCACTCCAAACAACAGGTCGTACTTGTTGTTGCTTGTAATTGGTGCACCGTGTTCTGCCTTCTTTGGAAGTGGCCTGAAATGTTCACAGGATATTAATTTTGAAATTCCCCAAATTATTTTGCATATTTTTTAACTTTCTTTTAATTGTAATAATTATTATAAATACCATCAATGTTATCAATATTATCAATGTTATCAGTGTTATCAATGTTATCAAGGTTGTCAATGTTACCAAGGTTGTCAATGTTATCAATGTTACCAAGGTTATCAATGTTATAAAGGCTGTCAATGTTATCAATGTTGTCAATGTTAGCAATGTTATAAAGATTGTCAATGTTATCAATGTTATCAATGTTATCAATATTATCAGAGTTATCAATATAATCAATGTTATTAATATTATCAATGTTATCAATACTATCAATGTTATCAATGTTATCAATGTTATCAATGTTATCAATGTTATCAATGTTATTAATATTATCAATGTTATCAATACTATCAATGTTATCAATGTTATCAATGTTATCAATGTTATCAATGTTATCAATGTTATCAATGTTATCTATATTATCAATGTTATCAATATTATCAATGTTATCAATGTTATCAATGTTATCAATGTTATCAATGTTATCAATGTTATCAATGTTATCAATGTTATCAATATTATCAATATTATCAATTTTATCAATATTATCAATATTATCTGTGCAAATAGACTCAGAATATTATAGTAACTTTACAAAAATGTTCATCTTCCTCAATTTATTATTAATATTTTTTAATTTTCTTGAACTCTACGTGCAAATACTCAGACCATTATAAGATTTACAATTTCTTTTTATTTTATGGAGATCGTTGCAAGGGGAATATAACTATGCAGCAAAGGTGCTGTGATGAACCAGAACCTTGATACAGTATCATTATATTTCGGATCTTATGCTAATGACTCTGTAGAACAAAGCTGAATCATTTACAATTCCGTTAATGAACCGCGCTAATGTCTACGACGAAACGGGCTGCATCTGCTTAACATTTAATGAGCTGCTTCGATAGGATCGTAAAACTAGAGTCGGAGACATTATACGAACTTCCTTTTTCAGGATCAGAACATTATCGATATTCGCTTAACAAAGCTTCCAGCAAAGTGGTACATTAGTACTTTAAATGGGACTGCAATTTTACTACGTGTACACGTCGATACGAATTAATGAACATGTAATCTATTCGGTAATAATATTAATCTCCGAGCAATGTAATTAAATTTAATTATGAAACGTTTCGCAATTATTTTGATAAAATTCGATCGAAGGTAGTAATTAATTTTGAAACGATATATTGCTCACCCGAAACCTTGGAACTCTGGACCCATGTAGGACAATAGATCCTTTTGGAAGTCCGGTTTAATGACCACGCCATCCACGCTGGGTCCGAAAGCGCTGAGAAAGGTCGGCGGTTGGATATCAACTTGCATCAACTCTTCCAAACTACGCTCTCGAAGGCAATCGACGATCAGCTCGTTATCTTTGAGCAGATCCTCGGGAATCGAGCAATTGACAGCTCTGGCCAGCTTCAAAGCGTACGAAACAGGATCCTCGACCACTGCCCACGATGATAGGGCACTTCCTGACAGAAGGATGGCTCTTTTGAACAGGCCTGTGAAAAGGAAACATCCAATTTGTCGGTTCGAAAGACGAAATCTTTGATGTTCAATCGCTCGATCAATTGCTATTCTGCAAAATTGTATAATTCTTCTTTGAAATTATTTTCATTTCGTTAAGTTCTGACGAAGCGAATCTTAAAGGGAGTCTTCGTCTCTTCATCTATAATTTCCCTCTAGCGCAACAAAATTAATTCGAAAGTTTTCGTGTTCGTCAAGAATCTCCAGCTTATAACGTATGAAAACGTAGGTGTCGTCGAAACGTGAACTCGACCTAAACTTTCGTCGTTCGGTATGAAAACTGATTAATTAAGGAACATCTTTCTGGTACATGCTCCGGAAACTTGTTCCGAAACTTTCCAAGTTTGATGATTTTTCGAACGTGATTGTTTTATTATGTAACGTTTACGCACATACGATTAATAAAAATTTCAATTAAAGTAGGCGAACGTTTGATGCCAGCGTCATGTAAAATTTATGAGGGTGGTTTTTACGACAGATTCAAACTGAGCGATAAGATGTAATATGCTATGAATTGTGATGAATATTTCCGTATTCTACGGGGAAGCTCAAGGAAGGTCGACGTTAAGCAGGAAGCACGGTGAGCTCGAGATAAAGAAGATGAAAATTATATCAGAAGGAACGGTATCGAAGTAACAAGCGGATGTGCTTTTCAACGATCGTCACGTAGCGAGGATAATCGAACCATCGTTCTTCTGCAACTCGGTCAAAGCGCAAGAAATTTCAATAATTCCTCAGGCTGAGCTTTGCAAGGAAAATATCCCTTAATGATATTCCTTCCTCCTTTTTTGCAATACGCTTTCAGAAATTTTGCAGCTCGCATATTAACGTTTTATTCTGTTATACGATTAAGAACTCGTCGCGCCATTAATTAACGTATCGTTTAAAGGGACGGCCATTATCGACAAATGCGAATGCGATGTTAAAAGAAATATATCCCGTAAAAACATCGTGAAATCTGTCGAAACTGGCAGCGAGCTCACTTTGTTCAGTTTCCGAGGAATTACCACAATTAATACGTCTCTGCCACCTCTCTGTTGAACCGGTAATTTATCAAGACAGATTTATACCAGCAATTTCCGGTATCCTGGAAACATCACAGACCTAACGTCGACCAATATCTCGTGGAGTCGGTGTTCCGAGCGAGAAATTCCAGAGCAATGTTAGCTGTCGATTTGAGGCAAGAAACCGGGGGAAGAAGGAATAGAAGAAGCAGGCTCGGTTTCTCGAGGATCTTGGTAGTCGAGGATATCCTTCAATATCGCATGGAGAGACACCATAGACACAGCCGGTAATATCTCAAGCGTGCGATATTGCAAGAATTTTCTGCGGGAGTATCAACGACGAGAACGTTAAACGTCGAACAAAACCGCAGTGAGAATCGATACGAATGAAGACGCGAAAAATGGTAATGCTCGCACATCTGGCAGCCCCTCTGACCTCTTTTAAAGCGGCCAATATTGCGTGAAGGGTGAAAACCGGTGCGTGCAAAGCTGTTGATTCGATCGGACCAGGAAACGATATTCTTGTTCTGGATTTCGTCTGGCGGAAATTTTGTTCCATGGCCTTTGGGGGATGATTCGAGGGGTTGATTCTCGTCGAGGGCACGACGAGCAAATAGGCGATGGAATTCATCGGGGATGAAGGGGAATTAGATATTGGGTTTTTATTCGAATGAAAAATGGCATGGCGAGGCCCGCTGGGATTCGAAGGCTGAACAATTTACTTGTAGCTGGAAAACGTTGTCCGCTGCGCCAGTGAGAGCTTCCGTAATGTTGTTCGCTTTTTTCCCAATGTTTCCTGGCACTGATTTATCGTTCCTTTAATAGTACAAACCGTTCTCAGCGAATTAATGGTTGTAAACACTGTCACATATTTGACTTTCACCCAACAATAACACAAAGAGACATGTAACAATAATAAAAAATATACTAGGCTGTTAAAATGTTGCTCCACGTATGTTTATCAAGATTATCGAATGTCATACAGGTAGTAAAAATCGATAATAAAAATAAAAAATTCAAAACTTGATCGTCAATCCAATATACGTAACACAGGATCAAAATTCAAGTAGTACAAATCAATAATAATGATGTCAGTCTCAAATATCTACACGTTCTGAACGTAAGGTTGAACTTCAAGTAGTATAAGTCAATAATAATGATCCCAGTTTGAAACATTTACATGTTACGAGCATAAGGTTGAACTTCAAGTAGTACAAGTCAATAATAATGATCTCAGTTTGAAACATCTACATGTTGCGACCACAAGATTGAACTTTAAGTAGTACAAGTCAATAAACATCGAGATATTCATAACTTAACCGTGAATTTGATTGAATCATTTAATGGTACAAGTAGCACAAGTCAATAATAATGACCTCAGTTTCCAATGTCTACATGTTCTGAACATAAGGTTGAACATCAAGTAGTACAAGTCAATAATAATGAACTCAGTTTGAAATATCTACATGTTGCGATCATAAGGTTGAATTTGAAGTAGTGCAAGTCAATAAACATCGAGACCACCATAACAAACCATGAATCTGATCGATCGATTTAATGGTACAAGTAGTACAAGTCAATAAAGGGGTGATTCTGAGAAACGAAGACTATTGTCCAAAAGTTTTGGAAGACACAAAAAAATCGATGAACCCTTTGAGATCGGTCGTATCAAAACGCTCAAGTTTCGTGTCACAAGAGAAATCTGTTCGGCACACATAAGCTCGTTTCCTTTCGGATTCTTCTCGAGAGTCTCGTTAGCGGTGGCGTTCCCGATCGAACGAACCGTTCGGAATCAGGGAACAGTATTGGATTCTAGCATTGAAAGAGAAGAGGTTCGCGACCGTCGACGTCTCGTTACTTATGGGATAACGATTTCTCGGTTTGCTCGATTTTCAGCGAGCCACGATACAGAAATCGAGCCGAGACGTTTCCGACGATGAGAATCTCGTCGTCTAGACGTCGAACGGTTGATTACTCGGACCAAGAGCGAGAGAACGGGATGGCGGACGAAAAAAGGTGGCCGACAAAGACGACCCGGGGAAACTAAGGAAGCTTCGAAAAAGAGTTCCGTATTTTTCGGCGTGAAGTGCAGAATACGCTGCAAAGTTGTCGGCGACGCCTGGATTTTTATCGTGTTACAAGTAAAGTTTACGAACTTTCCGCGGGAATCGTCGAGATTGCTCGGCGAGGGAAGTCACCTCCAATTGAGCGAACTTCAAGCTCACGAATGAGGGTGAAAGAAACGTCAGAGTGAAATTAAAGGTATTCCAAGTCGAGTTACATCCTTGCTCTTTTAGACAGATTTGCTCGTCATAAAGCAACTAATAGAATTAGTTCCATTACACTCTTATTTGACATTGCTATTACAACTTCAGAAATATTAACTACCCCTCTGAAATTTATGAGCGTATTTGACCTATGACCAGCCTCATATATGACCATCTCATAAAAAGAACATCTCCCAAAAATAGCTAAGTAAAATCGGTGTGAAAGTTTGAAGGAAAATCCTCACCTCGAATGACAGTGGGGCTGATGGCGAGAAAATGAACACAGGCAGCGCCAGTTCCTTGGCCCATCAGCGTCACGTTGTTGGGATCGCCGCCAAACAAGGCGATATGCTCTTTGACCCAGTGAAGAGCCGCGATCTGATCCATGAGACCGTAATTCGCGACCCTTGCCTTGGTCTGAGGCGCCACGTTGGCGTTCAGGAAGCCGAGCACGCCCAGACGGTAGTTCATCGTTACGATCACTTGGTCGGTGTAGCTGGCCAGCACGCTACCGTCGTACGGGTTTCCGCTGCCCCAGTCGTAGCTCTCGCCGTGGATATACAGCAGCACCGGATGCCTCCTTCCGCTGTCTGCCATGCCTGCAACCAGAAAAGTGTCCCTTGTAACACTTTATAGAAGCGTGCTCTCCTAAAATGGGATTCAGATGGTTTATACTCGTGTCTGGGGTGATTCACAAGGTCTAAACTGATAAGCTATTGATTTTTGCTGGAGTAATTTTATGCAACAGGTTTATGACAGATTTTATATTAGAGTCATACAGGATGATTCATAAAAAATGAGAGACTTAACCCCTTGCACTATGACTTATTTGTCGGGTGCGTCAGTCAGAACTGACTAATTACAGCTACAATATTAAGACAACAAAATTTGAAATGTTATGTCAACATGTTATTTAATCCTTGACTATGCAAATTATAATTGGACTTCAAATTGAAGCGTATTAAAAATTTGAGTAAAATTAATCACAGCCAAGGTACGAGTGCATTAAGAGTCAGACTCGTGGAAATAGTGCAAGGGGTTAAATACTGTGTATCTACAGCAGATTTTAAAAATCCTTGCTGCTATTATGATGTTCTTGTGATTGGTTTAGAAGGAATCTGAGATATCCGGCGACACATAATTGCAGATATACTTCATCTTTATCGATCGCAAGGAAGAGGAAGAAGGTGAATTCGAGCACGGGGTGAAATTCGAGCAGCTCGTCTACCTCTTATCGTGGAACAGCAACCCTCGACGTATTCCCATTCGTTCGACAATGCCAGCGTCCACGAGGGAAAGGAGCGATAAAGAAAGCGACCCTTGAACGACCCTTACCGAAACAAAGACCGATGTTGACCGTGTGTCTGGCCCTATAGAAAAGTTGCAGTCGCCTGAAGAGCTTCTACGGTACGACCGGAAGAGGAACAGGAGGTAGCCTGCCAAAGGGGATTCGAGCAGGTCGTCTTACGCTTCAAAAAATATAGGAGCTGTTCTGGACCATTGAATAACCGAGCTATTCCTTGATAAAATCTTTTTAATAATTGAAAGTTAATGGGGGAAAAAGACCACATAATTCGAGTATCAGTTTTTCAAATTCCAGACAGGAATATTTCAGATGCGTGTTTATCCACTGCTTCTATCGTTTGTAATCCACTTGTATGACCACGTGGAGATACATGTGTTTATACGTAGTTTTATGCGTCGAATTTTTACGCGTTGTAATTCGACCCGATGACACGCGCTGTAATTCTATACGGATTGTAATTCGATCCATCGCACTGTAATTCGATCCGTTGGATCACCACGCGCTGTAATTTAATCCTTGGATCACCGCGTGTTGCAATTCGATCCGTTGGATCGCCACGTGCTGTAATTCAATCCGCTTAAATAGCGTTGTAAACCATGCGTTGAATCACGCATTGAATCGTCACGCACCACGTATTGCAACTCGTTTAATCGATACGTATTAAATTTCATCGTTGTAACTGCAAATAACTCTCCTTGTTAAAAGTCTAAAGCTTCTTTCAAGATAAAATGAGACGAATTCTGAACACTGTTGTTCTACATTTTCTTGCAAATTTCGAGTATTATGCATTCGAGAAGGAAAAACAGCGACTAATGCACTTGGCACGGACCGTCAAGAGTTTTAATAAAATTAGAAACATGCACGAACGTTCGTGAAATAGGACTTGACGCAGCACACAGAAACGCGAATCAAGTGAATCGTAGGAGCTTTGACATCACGTTTTCCATTTCGCTGTCGTATTTTTAATTTCGTTCAGCTTTTCGCCGAGATGGAACTTGTAAATTACAGAGGACTGCGTTTTTCATTTGTACTGAAAGGAAGCGGGTTATTGAATTTAGTGGACACTTCAAGTGACGCGTTCATTTCAATCCTCAAACGTTCCTTCCAATTCAAACAGCCTTTAATAAGTTTCATGCTATGCAGCAATATCGAGATACTCGAAGAAACACACAGCGCAAATTCTTTTTAATCTACCGTTCAACTTTGCCGAGTTATTTGCATTGCTTGAACAAAGGTCAAACGAATCTCAAGTAGTCAAAGTCTATGACTTTGAGCAGCCGATCACCGGGAACTGCGTTTCCTTCGAGCTTTCACGTTCTTCAGTTCAATTTCTCGCTTCCCGGGATCCCAAAGGACTTCCGTCAGACATTATTTCGTCACTTTCAACCTTTTAGTCCATCGTCGAATTTCCCTGGTCCGCGTCGTGTCGATACATTTCGTCGAATCAATCAAAGAAACTCGAAGGCTTAAAAGCTTCCGACAAACGTCCTAACAAAGAAAATTAGAAAGGTACCGAGTAATAAAATCTCCTCGGGAATCGCTCACAGCACTCTCGATATCGTATCAGAACGAGCTTCATCGATTTTCTTCCGCGCGATTCCACGAACGCACCTGAAACCAGCTAGAAAATAAAAAAAGCGTGTCCGCGTTTCGCGTTGGTACAATACGATCTTCAATCGCCGAAGCTGGCTCAATTTTCCCGAGCATTACTCCCCTTTACAATCCCTCGGTGCCCCGTTTCGTCAACAACGCTGTTCTCTTTGACTCAAAAACCCGTGGCAAATAACAGAGTCACGCGTGTCGTCATTGTCAGCCAAATCCTTTTGTTTAACGTCACGCGATCACCAGGCCAACGAATCGTGTTTCAACCCCCTGGAGGGACAACCGCGAAAGGGTTGCTCGCAGAGATTGCTCACTTTTTGCCGACTGAAAGCATCGTGATGCGGCCTTTTCGAAGGAGTGGTTCAGCATATACCGTGCAATAATTCTAGGACCACCCCTATTCCGAAATGGAAGCCTTAAGTAGCTACCCTTGGACATCGCTTCGCTTTGTTCCCGCTCGGTTCCAATGTTATTGATGATTTGTGAGATCGATGTGCACGCTGGTCAGAGGTGTTTTATGAGAGCCGGTTGATTTATGTTATTTCTATGATGAATTTCGATGGCTGATGAAGAATTGTGGTGCGTGAAAAAATGGGGAAAATTTTGAAGTCCGGCAGATTATTGTTGAATAGGGGTTAACTACGAACAATACTCGAAATTATTCTACTTTCAACCCATTGTTCTCCATCCGCTAAAGAATTGCAAGTAGTACGAGTCAACCATATCTCGCGCGACCTACGTAGAAATTTCTTTCACTTAATAGCAATTAATTTTAGAATCGTAAGTTATATGCAAAGGGAAGATTGTGATCCCAGAAGGGTAGTTTTGACGCAGATCGTAATTCGTTTAGTTTCACACGATATTTGAACAACTCTTTGATCCTTTTCCAGGAAGTTAGTCTTAATCAAGCAAGTTCGTTGGAAAGGTGTTTTCGCAAAGTTACTGCAGTATTTAGCCAAGCTGTTTACGATGGTCGACGCGTACCTTGCTTTGCATAAACACAGCTGAGTTTATTAATGCAACGTGCGTGGTGGTTCGTTCAACGCTCGAGTCTCGCTCGATATTTCATTTAAACATTATTTACGGGATCGTGCACCTCTGACGAATGTGAATCGCCCGGTCGAGAGCGTCGATTTCATTTTTAACGAAGTACTCTCCGCGTTCATCAACCTCTACGCTATTATACCACGCCCCAAGTAAAATAAATATCCACTTTATATCGAACGTTGTAATTTTCCTCCTTCCATTACCGTTTCGAGCTAACGCCAGCAATTTTCTTGCCGTGAGACTCTTGATCTATGATATTGTTATCAGAATATGTGCGTTTTGATCGTCGGATTCTGCCATCTTATTCATAAGTTCATCGTCTTTGTATAAATCTGGGGGAACGTGTACTGGTACTACTTGGACTGACCACTTTCCAATACCACTTGTCTGACCACTTGTTAAATCTACTCGTCTGACTACATACATGTACTACTTGTCTGACCATATATCAGTACTACTTGTCTGACTACATACACATACTTGTCTGACCACTTACATACATGTATGTACTACCTGTCTGACCATATACATCTATACTACTTGTCTGACCACTTGTACATATACTACTTATCTGACCACATACACCTATACTACTTTTCTGACCACATACACTTATACTACTTGTCTCACCACTTACATACATGTATGTACTACTTGTCTGACCATGTACATCTATACTACTTGTCTGACCACTTGTACATATACTACTTGTCTGACCCCATACACCTATACTACTTGTCTGACCACATTCACTTATACTACTTGTCTCACCACTTACATACATGTATGTACTACTTGTCTGACCATGTACATCTATACTACTTGTCTGACCACTTGTGCATATACTACTTGTCTGACCCCATAGACCTATACTACTTGTCTGACCACATTCACTTATACAACTTGTCTTACTACGTACACATGCTACTTGTCTAACTACATACACATTATTTGTCTGACTACGTACACATACTACTTGTCTGACTACGTACACATGCTACTTGTCTGAGTACGTACACGTACTACTTGTCTGACTATATGTCAATACTACTTGTCTGGCAACATGCACATACTACTTGTCTGACAACATACACACACTACTTGTCTGACTATGTACATATATGACTTGTCTGATTACATACACGTACGACTTGTCTGACTACATATACATGGCAATGTGGAGCTGACGCCAGCAGTTTTCTTGCTGGGTCTCCTGATCTATGACATTGTTATCAGAATATGTGTGCTTTGATCATCATAACCCGACGACTTATTCATAAGTTGCTTCTCCATCGTCACGGTATAAACTAGACATTTTTATTGTTGTCGTCCGTGAATAAATCTCTGGAGGAGCACTTTGTTCCGAAAGTAGCTCTTAAACACAAATAACAGAGTTCAAGGGATCGAATCCGTCGTCGTTTGTCAGCGAACGTTATCGTTCCAAGACAAAGTTGAAAAAGCCAACATCCAGCATCGGAAGATCGGGGTCGCCGATAACGGGGAAGCCAGGAAAAAGGTGTTCCATTCGAGGACAGAGAGTATCGTCCGGCAAAGAACAAGAAAAGAGAGCAGGCTTTCGTAACTGGCCTTTGTCATCCAGCGGTAAAAGACAAATAACCGCGGTCCGCCTTTTATCTTGCCACC